TTTATAGAAAACAAGGCGGTCGAAAATGTCTTATGGTTATAAATAGCTAAAGATTTGAATGTATAAAAAAAATGTAAGACAAAAGAAAACCGATAAAGAAGACTATAATTCGAATTCCGAGTACTAACTCTGTTGCATCCTCTGAATTGCTTTTTCAAAATAATAGGGGATTAACTAATTTAAAAAAATTGTGCTAGAACGAACGTCTATACAATGTCAGACACAAACTATAATTATGTATAGGTCTACTTGATGTTCAAACAATTATATTATGTACTTACACTCTTCAGCCTTCAATAAAGGTTTCATATAATAAATGTATTAAACTGTTATTTTGTGTATGAGGTAATTACACGTAGGTACTTGTATGCGCACAGTGCAGTACACAATAAATCGTATCTAGTTAATAATTTTTTTAAACTAAAAAGATACAATAACTGGTAAATACCTATAATGCATATTACACTCTCTTATACTGGACGCCAACGATGATGGTATATGAAGACCGCACGCGATACGTAGGTATATATATGCGGTAGATATATGGGCACACTGTGTACACACAAACACACACACACACACACACACACACACACACGCGCGTATACATGTATATGTATTATAATATTGGGCAACTATGTATGTCTAATGTGTGTATATATATATATATATTTATATTACATTACAGACGGTAACGCGGCTGCAGCGATCGTCGTCGTGTACATCCAAATGGCGATTTGTATTTTGTAGGTAAACGGACGTGTAATTATTATTATATACGTATCACGGACCTCCCTGGTTTCCTTTATATCCTCTCCAGCACCGCCGCCGTCCCGCCCCGGTCGGCCTGCACAATCCCCCCGATCAATTACGTTTGGAATCCCGCGCGATGACGTCGGTCGGGCCACACCCGTTCCGGCAACGATCATTTTTTGTGCGGTGATTTATCCCACGGGAGATCGAGACCGTCGATAAGCGCGGCACGACGAGAGCCCGCGTGCTTGCGGTGTGCGTGTACCTACATGTGTGCTCGGCGCGAGAGAGCATATTATGATATAGCCGCTGTGATATTATTATTATTATTATTATTATTATTATGGTTGTTTGTTTAAGGGGGACCCGCCGCCGCCGCCCGACATCCATTAAGACGTTTCGTATCCTACGTGTGTATATATATATATATATATATACACGCGCACACACCGCAGGTATTATTATTATATACATACCTCTCTCTCTCTCTCTCTCTCTCTCTATATATATATATATATATATGTATAATATGTACGTGTAGCCCCACAAAGCGCGGTTGTCAATTAGTGACGGTGTATCGTTTTCCGACCACTGTCGGGTAATAATAATATATACGTGTTGTGTATATACGCGTATACATGTATAATATTATGTACAAGTATGGGGCATGAGAAAAATAAGAAGAAGAAGAAGAAGACGAAGAAGATACACGGTAGGTATATATACCACCCGCAGTAGCATTCCAAAACCATTGGACATTCCAAAACATTTATAACGCATATACCCGTGCACGCACTTATATATATATTATACCTATGCCATCTCCCCTCCGCACCCGGCTGACCCTCCCCCGACCATCCCCCCGGACAAAGTCGTATATACATCTACAGATGTATCACACGGGTATTTGTAGGTATACATATATATAATATATGACATGATAATATAATGTGCTTACGTTCGACGTGCGCGTGTTTTAACCCGGTTGAGACAAAGTCCAAACGAATTTGATCCGACACGGCTGATAAGAGAGCTCGCCGACACAATAAAATTAGACACACCCGCCGGGTCGCTCGACCACATATTGAAATTCTTTTGGGGGGATGAACCGCGTGTGTATAATACTGTACGGGTACCTTTACAAATGCTATCTACGTGGTTGGTCTTATTACCAGCCATCGCGATCGTCGTTACTGGCGCTCAGTAGTGGTTGAAAAATGTGCAAGATAATCGATTGTTTTTCAAACGTTGCCGCAGAAATGGCCAATTATTGGTAAATAACACAGCAGGCGAACGACGTTGTTTCAAGTAATATGTTTATATTTTGTCGCTAGTGCCACGTTTGTTAAAATTACAACACTGTCACACTGACACTCAGGACGACGAATAAACAAACAAAATTTCCAACTACGCAGGAGATATAGACCAATAAGAATATAGTCGTGATCAAAATTTACTCTTCTGATAAGTAAAGAAATCTCTGATAAAAAAGTATGCCGTCAAAATATTGTCAAGTTCTGAAATTTATTGAGGTCTGGAGTTAATTTTCAATGATACTTTTATTTGGCCTTTTTTAAATACCGTTACAATTCCTAAATCTAACATTTGTTTATATTGCATTGCTGATTTAAATGTGTAAAAAATTATAATACTCACAATCAGAACTATAATTATACAGACTGTTCCAGATATTTGTTATTACAATATTTCTGTTACCTCCGATAATATATTACACTCATATAGTCATATATTAACTGCAGTAAATACTATTTAGCATTAATAATATAGGCTGACTGACGGTCTTCGCTCAGAATCGTTTTTCTTATGAAATCATTTATCATTGAATTCAAATTTACCACATTCATTATAGTAATCCACTCGACACCTAATACTGTACAACAGAGTGGTGTTCACTTTCCCACCATTTTTCTTCATTATTCTAAAACCATGTATTTTTTTTTATGACAAAAAGCTTGACAATTTAAAAAAAGGTTCTTCATAAAATATTCTTATAGCAATTATAGAATCAGTAGTATAAAAAGTCACAATTTTTTGTACAGCCATTTAAAATTCAAATTTTGAAGAAATTGGATACCTCTAATAGTTTAATCGAAAAATAACTAATAACTATTTTTTATCCATTCCATTGTAACAGTTTTATGTTTGATTCTTACACTGTGTCACATAGGCAACCCGGCAGTCGGGCAGTTCACTTTAAATAAAGTTGTTTCCCTCTGCTATTTTCTTTTATAATTCGATAAATATTAACTGTATAGGGATTTGAAAATTTTTGCCATAACATATATTTTTATTTTCTATAGGTACGCGGTGCCATTTTTAAATATATATTGGACCAGTTTTAAACTATTTATACCAGAACTTATACACACCATCCTACGGTACGTCTGTAGTTGGTACCTACGTATAGGTATGTTGTGACTTACAAAGTTGAAAACAACTAGTAATATTATATGAAATAATTTTTTTTGTAATATTCACGATTTTTTGTTGGTAAAAATTAATTCAACCTACCGTATATCGTAGAGAAAAATAAATTACTAATAGTAATACAAAAATATTTAATATTTAATTAAATATATGCTTCTTAATATTGGCTGTCAGGCCATCTCCGCAGTCAGAATCGTTTTTATTATGCAATGATCTTCTTTGAATTCCAAGTTTAAACCATCACAGTGACAAAACTATTCAATGATGAGGTAATCTCAAAACCAATTATACAGCAGAGCGAATTTATTCGGGATGATTTTTACTCGGTGATGGTGTGGGAAATGGCAAGTACATTTTTTACATTTCAAATACAGGTTTAATAATTGTAAGTATAATTTTGAATTTGTTGTACATTTGAATTGTTTACTAAAATATTTGATTATTATTATTAATTATGTAAATGACTAATTGAAATGGAAGTCACATACGTTGTTGAGTGCCTATAAAAGAAGTAACAAGAACAGTAACTGTGATTGTTGCTATAAATCGGGTTGAAAAATGTTTTATACAATTTCAAATATTTTACACGTCTTTTATTGAGTACTCGTAAGTACCATGATGAGTATTTCATGTAAAGTAACTTCCTCCATTATATTTTTCTCTGCGATCGAGAGACGATAAAATAGTTAGAATGAGGACATATAATCAGTTATACACTTATACTGAGTTATACCCGAACGTTGTCACGATTTTGAGTTTATAAATATACCAATATTGTTTTTACTTATATTTGTGTAATCGTGTTGAGAATCATTATTTCACCACTTAAAATCATTTTTGGTTTTCATGATTAAGTCTGCTGATTTGTTTTTTACATTATTATTGTTAATAAAAACAATATGGCTTTCGAAAACCTATTATTTTGTCAAAACAATATTAATTACAAGTTCTATGATTTAATTTATTTTATGGTACGTTAAAACATGTTTCTCATTGGTTCTAAATTCTAGAAATTAATCAAAACATAAAACTTTGATTCCAAGCCAGCGTCATCAGGAGTTTTGGATATGAGAAAGAATGGCGTGTAGTGTGTCACTAAACATTTAACATTAACCTAGATTAAATTTTCTAATTGTATCATAATTTTTATGTGATTACCTTAATAATAGTTTTTAAGAGGTTAAAATAGTATATTATACACATTGTAATAATAATTAACAGATTTTTAATATTTAGAATTATTTTTAACTTAATATCAGTAGAAAATCCTATTTTAAGGATTTACAATCACAATCCATTAATATATATAGTTTTTTTACTCGAGTTATGTTTTTAATTGTTTTAAATTGTCGTATTATATCTAAGCGTTATGTCGTTATGTGTATGTGACGAAGGAAGAGTAATGTTTGTATTTTTTTTTATTTTTTAATCAAGAAATCTATATAGTAACTGTTGGACGTAGGTATTATATTTTACAACGTATGAATGAAAAATCATTATTCTATGGATAAAAGCTATTTGGCATTCCATTATGGCGCTTAGGCAAGTTTCCTTAACAGTTCACGACAATCAGTCGCGTGCGCTATACATTTTATATTCAGACCACACAATAGACCAGAATGACTGGTAAAATACAGACTGGACATGCTATACGCGGTGAATCATTGATGAATGCAACAAAAAAAAATTCTATCGTTTTAAAATATTGGGTATATCAGCTATTAACTTCAACCTATAGTGTAATGAAAATAAAATACATTTATAGAACTTTATAATAATATGATAGTATGATACATTAATATAAATTATTATACATTGTTTATTATCATTACATTTAAATAGTTTATAATAAAATATTACGGAACATACAAAAATAAGGATCATATAATATATTAGGTGTTCGAACTTAGTTTCCTATAAAGTAAGCCAAGTTAAGGCTCTGGTCTTTGGATGAAATTAAGTTTCTAAGAAATTATACCTATGTTTTGCGCAGGTCATTAACAGGGTTCTAGATTTCTGGCACTGAAAAATGTAGAAATACGCTCAACAAAATGCACAAATTATTTTAAAACAATCACATTTTTAACTAATTTTTAAACAGTACACAAGAATAACAAAAAAATAATGATTTATAAAATACTGGATTCATAAAAAAAGTGTTATTATTTAGTTCATAAATTAATATTTAGTATAGGATTTTTTTTTCCTAAGAATTTCCTAAGTTTTTTAAAAGCTATTATTTTATGTATTAAATTCATGTTTGCAAGTAGTGATTTTGTATAAAATAAGCAATTAAAAGAAATCTGTATTAATATAAAAAGTAAACAATGATTAAATATGTAATGTGAAACAATTTTTTTTTCAAGTGAATATGAACTTTAATTTGGAGATTTGATATTAAAGGATAAGGGTATCCCATAGGTATTTACTATCTAGTGAATTACAATTTAGACTTGGATTAATGTGAATACTTAGCTACCAAAGCCCAAACCCAATACATTTCAAGTTGTGTTATATTTTGATTATACAATTTTGGTTTTTGATTGGCAGTGAAGTGTGCCTTAAAAGTCTTAATGGCTTGAACCTCATCGGTTGTATTGTAACCGTAAACACCCAAATAATTGACAAACAGCTTCTGGTCAGGTATACGCGGACACGGCGTTGAGGGACGGTACTTGGCAATTACGACTGTCTCGTCCATTTCATCGTCATCCAACCAAGCACCTATGCTATAGGTCTTATACAATTCTCCCCACGGAAACATTACGCCAGGATCAATTTTTCTGTTTGGAGCTACATCTGAGTGTCCCACTACATTGTGCGGTAACACTTTATACTGGTTGGCCATTCGAGCCACCGTTAAACCGACAATACGTATTTGATCATGAAAAAACGGGTCCCACGAATCATTTGGTTCATTATACCCAAAATTAACGATTTCGATACCTATTGATATGGAATTGATTGACGAGTAGTTGCCCCATAAAGATATTCCGGCGTGATGCGAAACGCAATTTTCTGGCACGATCTGCAGACATCACAATCATCATTTATATTTTATAATAATGCAATTCATAATAATATACACATTTTATTACTAAGTCACTAAATATATTTTATGATAAAAATAATCCCGTTACGAAAAATGAATATTAATTATTATTAGAAAGTATTGAGGTGCAATTGGATATTGAATATACAATCGGGTACCTATCAACCTATCTATATAATATAATTTACAGAATGAAAAACAAGTTTTATATATTATTCTTTGAAACTTGACTTTATAACAATTAAAAATTAAATAGTGAAAAATAAAAAATTGAGCGTTTTCCACAAATAATCTGTATAAGCGTCTGATGTTTAAATTTTGACAAAATTGGGTATTCACGATTTTCTTATTTTGTTTTAAATATTTTGATGAAAAAATAAAATAACTGTAGATATTTTCACTAAATGATCCCAGTAACATAGTGCAAATTGACACTTTTTGAGTGATTTATATACATTTGACATTTGTTTAGTTTATTTTCTATAAATAACAATAAAAAAACTTGGTTAAAAAGTTTGAAAATTTAACACAGGGTTCCTCGAGAATTGTTATTATAGTTCTTTAAAAATGTTGAAGATACATTATGTATTCAAGTTCAAATTTAAACAAAATTACCTTTAATCAGGTATTAAGTGTTTGACTTTTATATCTAAAAATAAGGATAGACAATTTAATTTGAGGTTTCTCAGAAATAGTTTATAGTGGAACCAAACATCTTTTGATTTTTTTTTTCATAGTCATTTGAAGTTCAAATTTGGACGGAATTCGACGTACAAACGGAGAATATCGATTTTAGTTATTTTTTTATGATTATTAAAATATATTTTTCATGGGGATTGACATTTTTATCTTTAACTACGTATATTATTATATTTTATATAAGTACACAATGATATTTTCAAAATATTTAGATTAATTTTAGTTTACTACCTAACAAATATTTATAGTTTACACCGTGTTAAAAAAATATTTCAATAATGACTAGCAATAAAAAAAAAACAAACTCAGATCCATTTTTCGTAAGCAATGATGTCATTGAATTCAAATTTGACAAATCCATTACAAGGGACTTGATGACTAGGTTCCACGAGCTACACACTACTACTGTACAGCAGAGTGGTCAGTGGTTACCTTCTCTTTCTCTTTTTTGTATCTAAGTTTAGGAAAAAAGTAGAAATAAAGCGTTTTACCTGTAGTAATTGATTGTGTGTTCCAGCTTCGGTAGGTTTTGCTATTACATAATGAGAGCTGACATTGCTAGAAGTATTACTACGATTAGAAGTAAATATTTTTACAGTAGTTCCAAAATCTACATCAGTAAAATGTAGTACTATAACCATTATCTTATCATTCACATTTCTGTTATGGAAATGATTTCTACTTTCATTTGGACTTTTAAATGGACTGATTGCATAACCATGTATTGGATTGAGGTATTTTTTATACACCATGATTTCATTGTGTTCTGTCACACGAAAACATTTAGGATAAATAATTTCAATAGGCTGTAATACTTGATCATACGTTATATTTGTGCTAGAAAAAAGTGGCACCAAAATCAAATGAAATGTAACAATATATATATATTTTATCATTATTACGAGTTTAAATATTAAACTTATTACAAATAAATATATATTTTATAAATTGATTTAAAAACTATTGCACATTTCTGATTTCTTAAATCGGATATAGTATCACTGATAAATTTAAACATTATATTGTAATGAACTGATTACATAATAATAAATTAATAACTAATACATACCTATAGATAGGTAGTTTATTTACGATAATATTTTTAATAACATCTATATTATCTATTCTGTCAATAGCAATGTTGTTTGGTTTTACTATACAGAGTGATTCTTTTAATAGTAAATACTCATTATCAAAAATGATTAATACTTTATACTTTGAAATAATACATTTTGAAATTATATTTTCTTCATTATTTCAAACTAGATTAAAGTTATTAATTTATTATATATGTTGTAAGTTCATATGAAGAGTGTAGTTGATCACGATTTTGCAGGGTACCATATCACTTCGTTCGTCTTAAGTTTAAATACTTAGTCAAAATTATGTTTTTATTTAAAAAAACTCTTAGAAAAATATTCTGCTTTAAAGTTTGAAATTAACTGATAAAAAATAAATTATAATGATAAGAATAGGTAGAAAAAATATGTATACATTTTTAATGCTGTTTTTTGAAACATATTTTCAAAAACTTACTTATAAATAAGGAGTTTTTATTGTTGAAAAATCATCATGTATGCTACAAGTTCAACTTGAGGTTATCTTTTTTCGAATGGTAAAGTAATGTTATAATTATTACAAATAATTAAATTCTCGGGAGCTGGTCACATGTTCGAATGACGTCTGTTAGAATAAAAAGTTTTTGAAGTATTATTTGTTAGAAGGTCATATTATTATATTCTAATCGTAAAATAATAATAAATTGAAGTAATCCAAATGTACATAAATAGGCACTATTAAATATAATTAAGTTATTTTTCAAATGTAGGCAAGTTGGTGAGTGAAAAATATAAATTTGAGTTAGTGAAGGTAAGCCGACACTAAGAACATTATTGAGTTATAAGTTAATAGTGAACAAACAATATATTAAACTCTAAAAGTTAAGGGGTGTGTCATCAGTGGACCATTTGTTTTCTTTCTCTAATTTACGTGAAACATCAATTTTAAGTTTAGCAGAAATAACCCTGTTTCCATGTGTTATTATTACTTTTAACAGTGGCGTACCCAGGAATTTTTCAAAAGGGGGGTCCAAATTTTTTTAACATGTAAAAATATTATAGAATCAGTGGGTTACACCTTATACATTTTAAATTCTGTTAATCCATAGGGGGGGGGTCCAGGGGTCCAGATCCCCCTCCTGCGTACGCCCGTGTCTTTTAAAATTAAAACGAAATAATGAATTCGCCTATTATCAAATTTTGAGTTAAGAACATTTCCGGTGTCGCAAGTTAGCTTTTTTAAGATATTTTAATTTTAATTTGGTTTATAATCACTTTTAAATTATAATAATTTACACACTCATAACTTTCATACAAATTAAAATATCATAAAATAACCAACGTAGAGAAACAGCTAATGTTCGTAACTTAATGTTTAATAAAAGGCCATAGGTGAATTCATTCTAATATTAAAAGTAACAACACTGGAATGGTTCCACTAAACTTAAATTGCTATGTTGAGCGTAGGTCAGATAAAAAAAACAAATGGTGCACTGACATCCTATTAAGGTTATATGAAGTAAAATATTTACTAAACTCAGTTGTAAAGGAAAAAACAAATATTTATAATTACCACTTGGTTCACAAATTCTTCTTCTTCTTCTTTGAACCCTTATACTCTCTAAGAGTTTTCACCTCGATCTCGGGCTAATTCTCTCCATTCTTAGAATCCCATTCTGTCAAGGTCCTCTTCCATTACGTCTAACCATCTTTTTCTAGGTCACCCTCGTGGTCTTTTTCCAGTTGACTTACACTCCAGGACTGCTCTACTTATATACGTGGACAAGTCGCTGTCAGTGTACCTAACTTTGAGAAATAATTCGACTTATAGATGAGACTCAGCAAGTTGTGGATTGGACTTAGCACTTGGTATATTTTTAACGTGGTTTGAATTAATTACTTTCTAAATTTAAAAACAATCTTTGAGATTTTTGTCGAATTAATAACAGTTTTTTAGTACATAAGGTACAAACATATATTTAATTTTAAGAATTTAAGATATAGTTGTTTTTAATTGAGACCATGTAAACACGATGCACGCTTGTACCAGTTGTATCTGATCTTCCCGACTAACCAATGGCAACTATTTATAAACAAAAAAAAAGTTTTAATTTCCACCGTAATTCTCAAAGTCCTTGTTTAAGGACCTCTTTAAAATGTGAATTTGAGAAACCCTTTCTTAGTGGGCCTTTACATCATGAAACGAAACTATTGACCAAATTTCATAGGTACTCTTAGCTCGGCGGTCTTTGCTTGGCGATGATGAATCAGTTAGTTACGATAAGTTATTTTATGTACCTTTAACTGTATAGATAGTAGATATCTACTATAGTCATATAGAATAATAATTTATTCGACCATTCAATTTATATTTAAATGTATTATTGTTTTTGAGAATATATTTATTGAAACAAACAAACAAAAATAATAATAAAAATCATTTATAAACTTTCGAATTAAATAACAGTATTATATTAAGGTTTATTCGAATGGTAGGTATTGGGTTGTGACGTTTGACGTTTAGTTCAAGAAGTTTTTTAGTGTTATTATTCATGCAATGTATTGTTGTCATTTTCCAGACTTTTTAACATTTCATATTCTGTCGTTTCAGTATTTACTCAAGAAATTACATAACTAACGTCATACGTTAACTGTGTATTTTTGATTAATTAACTTTTGTTCATTGTAATCATCTCCTGAAATGTGCCGAAATTTTCGTAATGTAAACCAACTCATCAGTATACCTAAGGTTAAAAAAGTCGCTAAGTCTATAGTCGTAAGCGTTAAGTTACCAGTTTGACGTCTCTATCTCTACCGATGATCGCAAAACCACCTGCAGGTTATTACAGTCTAACAAACTGGTCATGAATACTGTTTTTTGATACGTAATAATAGTCGGTTGGAGTATGTGACTAGAACACGAGATAGCCCAACAGTGCGCGTTATCTTGTAGGTGGCATTGCCCGAGTATGGGCAAACTGTTATTATTATATTTCCAAGTATTATTATGGCTGTACCGCGGTATTTATGATGAATCCCGGCAGAGACAACACAAATAATGGATATCTGACCATAAACAGGAGAACATAATATTACTTTGTTATAGGTAGGTACCTACCTGCTGCTATATTTTACAACAGATAAAAACATGTTTTTTCAAAAGAAAAATGATAGTTTTAAGAGTGCATTAGCTTCGCCTTACGCTTTTATAGGTACATATACTTGATGCATAATACTTATGTATACACTAGTCACTACGTGAAGAATAAAGGTAATATTTTAAAAATGTACTTTTGTTACTTTTTCTTTAACTTATAAGATATAGTAACTTTAATATAAAAATGACAAAAATATAATTCGATTAAGTGCGTAGTTGTTAAAATGGAAACATTGTTAATAACAATTCAACATTACAAGCTTATATCTGGGTGTTTTCCAAATATAATGAACAATATTTTATTGACCATCATAATATTATTATGTATGGTTATGACTTAAACAAATTACAGTAGAAGCATCTATGTGTCTTTGCTATACTGGCCAGAATTTTGATTGTGGCTATGAAATAATACCATCATATCCATCGGTGAGATGAATTTACTATACAGTGTGCATGACGAGGATTAGTCATTTTTAATAGGTACACATAAATTTAATATATGGCTGTCTGAAATTCACAATATATAATGTATACCTTGTGTACCTATATAGCAGTGGTTTTCAAACTTTTATTACACACGGCACACCGTACACCCTATAATAATTTTCACGACATATTGATCTTTTTTTAGATGAAAAATTCAATGCAATCAGTAATTTATGGAAAAATCGCGGCACACTTAGTGGATACTCGCGGCATATCAGTGTGCCGTGGCATACCCAGTTTGATAACCACTGCTATATAGTGTTTACCATCACCTATAGTTTTAAATAAACAATTTATTTTAAATTTTGTGCAAAGCAAGGGTCGTTTTAATTTTGTAATAATGTCCAAGCAAACTAAAAACTTTCTGTAAACATTTATTTTGGGAGAACGTATTATTTATTTTTAGTCTATTTTCGAAAAATATGTGTTTTGAAACGACTCGCAACTACTTATAGTTTCAAGTATTTTAACAATAGTTATATTATACTTGTTTTTACCCTTTGTTATATTCTGTGTAATATATATAATTTTATACTGACTATCTGAGTAATAGGTACTGAAATTTACTTCAACGACCTTCATATATTGTTGACAGTGAAATTACCTAAGCTAGATAATAGTTGAGCCATCAACCAAAAATAATAGTTATGGTGAGCCCTAAAATAAAGATAAAGACATTTAGAACACAAAACAACATTATGGCCTTTCATTGTATAAAAGCAAAAGCGCTCGTGTGTGTGTGTGTGTGTGTGTGTGTGTGTGTGTGTGTGAGAGAGAGAGAGAGAGAGAGAGCTTGTTTGTACTCAGTACTGATGTGTACAGCGAGAACGTACTATGTTACACAAAATCGAAGCTGTAAGATGTGGCGCCAGCGATCGTCTGAAAGGGATGTTTTATGAATGAAGTTTTTGGTATGTCGCCCACGTGGAATGCGAATATCCCTTCACAGCGTGTGTAACTATATGGACCGAGGTTTATATTTCAGAGGGGATGATATTGCGGGGATGAAGGGGTAGCCATTGACGTGGCGCCAACGAATCCCCGACAAAGGATTAATAGCCATTGGGTTCCGAAGAATACTTTTCGATATAAAACGCAGTCCTATATAAATCATAATACAATGACATACTTGAATGCATCATTGAAAAGAAGATCAAATTAATTTTCTTGTATGTTAAAATATTTTATTTTTATTTTTTTGCCAGTATATTGACTATTTATAATTAATATCAAAAATAATATGATTAACATTTTTTAAAATAAGTTGCATTCGTTACTCATACAATATTTTTCCGAACAAAATAGCTATAATTATTATATTTAATTCAATAAGTAAAGTTACACTATACATTAAGTATTAGGGAATAGGTACTTATTAACGTCTGTGTTATACATGGTGCGATAACTGGAACAGAAAGAACAGACTGTTAGTATAAATTAAAGTAAATATAAATTATTGTTCACATCAATATTTAAAAAAATATTCTTTCTATACAATTTATAAATACTTGTGCTATATTTACAACATTATTATTTTAATTTTTATTTCTTGAAATTGAAAATAAAAAATTTTCAAACTTGGTTCATTTTTTTTTTTTGGAAAATTTCAAAATAGCCAATTTGTTTATCAAATAATAAAAAAAATGTTGGTGGTAAAAACATTTATCTAAGTCTTGTAGTTTATTTTTTAGAATTTTTTTAAATTTAAATATTTTTTTTAAGTAAATTAATTTAGAACATAATAACTTTTTTCAAAATATTATTCTAAACATTTTCTGACATGATTATATTTCTTAAATTGTTTACCATCCATATAATTTAAGACTTTTTCTAAGGCTTCAAATCCTTTAATAACCCAATCTAAAAAATTATTTTTCGATAAAAAAGTAATACCTAGATTGATATGATTACTATACTACTTGTTAATAGTAGTTCTCTTTTTTTGCATATTTATTAAACATATTTGACATATAATAATATGCTGGCTTATATAATATAGTTAATATAGTATACCTAATATTCAATCAATACTGTTATTCTATTTTATATTTTTTTTACTATACATTTTAAACATAATAGTTTTACACATTTTTAAAATCCTATTTGGAAAAAATTATTTTGTGAATTTCAATTGAATATTCGTATACTTATGTTCTGACATATTGTAATAAAGTATATTACTATGTTAAATTTAAACGATGATAATTTACGTTGGATTAAAAAAGACTCAAATGATGCTGCAATGGTATATCATCATTATTTTTAAATGATTTATAAGTAGGAATTTTTATTTTTTAATTGTTCAATAGAACTTTACAGAAACACCTGATGGCAATCTTCAAGAATGTAATTCATCTAAAGCTTTTTATGTAAATATTATATTTATTCACTCACACAATAACTATTATATCGTTAACTGTGTTAAGAATAATAGATGTTTAATAAATTAGAGCCTTAAAGAAAAATACAACAGAAACAATTTGATAAAAGGCGATGAAAATAATGATAGTTTAACTTCTTTGATTCGGTCAAATCAACAAAATCGATCGAACAAAACACCTAACCCTATTGAAGTAATTTGTTGTGTTTATCGTTTATGATAAGAGATAATGTTCATATAATATGTTTGCTATATTTTTAAGGATAGTAGAAAGTCAGATGCCTGTGCACTGGTAAGAAGGCGACATATAACAGATACAAATAGTTTAAAACATTTTAACATGCATCCCACGTGTACTTTAAATATATATAATGATTATCATTCAAATTCATTTATGACCAATTCAAAATCTATAAATGATGTATCAAAATGTTTTACTCGTGGCCAGTCCTTTGCTGAGCACATTGTTCCAAGTAGCCAATCAACAGTATGTTTAGAATTTATTACGTTTACACTGTGTTAATGTTTTACATAACATTATTACTTACCTATAGCTCAAAACGAATAATTGCATTACGGAATCATGGAGAGAAATCAATCATGTTGATAAAATTAATCTTACTGCAGCTTTATTATCTCACTTGGTGGGTACCTACAATAATTTAATGGGTAAAATAAGTATTGTAGTCAATAGGTAATATATAATGTACTTTGTATTAAAATGTCAATATTATTTATTTAAAAATAACATATTTTTCATTAAAAAAAAACTTAACAATAATAAAAAACTAAAAAAAACTAGAAAACTTCAACTATACAGAAATAGCACAAAAACCAAATTATTTTTAAAACTTTGTCGAGCTTAGAACATGCAAATTTACATATTTAGTTAAAAATTTTATTCGATACAAATATTATTTATTTTTGAATTGCATATTTGCATCATAAAACCAAGTTAGTTTTTCAAAACTTTATAATTATTTTAGATTTTGAGCGGAGCGATGAATGTATTGATTTTACAATGATGTGTGTTTTTATTTTTTTTTTGTGTCTGTCATCACGGTTTCTTGCAGTAAAAGTGCTTTGATTTTCTTAGAGCATCTTTTCTGGCAGGAAAGTGAATCTAATTGGTGCATTCGGGAGATTAAAATTTAAGAATCGTAATAATTTTCAAAACTAACAGGAAAAATAAACAAAAAATTAAGGAAAAACGGGAATTTTTACTCAAAACCATTTTTCGAAAAAATAGATTTTGGTATTTAGTGTAACTCTTACAAAAATGACCGTAGATGCATGACATTTTCACTGAATATTTGTGTGATCATTTTCTATGCACCATAACATTTTCAAAATATTATGATTTGCGCTGAACTATTTATAGGCAAATTAAATTTTCAACTATTATTTGTTTTTTTTTTAAACCCAAGTCGATAAAAAAATGTTCACTTGAAAATGTAATACGAGGTTCTTTGTAAGCTGTTGTTAATGAAAATTAAAAAAAAGTTGAGCGTAAATCTACAGTAACTTTTTATGAGCGCTGAAACATAGAATTTTGACAAAATTCGTGAAAATCATGAAAATTATCAAATTATGTTTAGTCATTCATAAAAATGTTTCTATTTATATTTAAGATTTAAAAAATTAATACAAGATTCCTTACAAGTTTTTCTACCTTTATCAAAAAAAATTCTATCGGAAAGTCAAATTAAATTTTTATGAGCTTTTGAAATTTCAATTTTTACACCATTGAATATTCACTCGATTTCTCTTGTAGCGATTTTCTTATTTTGTTGTAATTAAAAAACGAATTACTGTTGACACTTAAAATTTATACCAAATGTTTATTTCATCAATACTCGACTTTAACGGACACTGAATTTTATTGGTTGGGTCAAAAAGCATGATAATTTAATACAAGACTATTGATATATTATTACAATAGCAGTTGAAAAATATTAAAAATACATGGGCACGATTTTTTTTTACAAGCATTTAAAGTAAAAATGTTGACAATATTTATCAAGTTGAAAATTGAAAATGATTTTGTAGTTATAAATGTATAAATTGTTCAATTTTTATAGGTAAGGATTAGAAATTTAAAGCAAGGTTCCCACTTAAGCAGTTTTTCCCATAACTAATAAATCTATAAAATATATGAATATACAGTTATTTTTTCAGACATTTTAAGTTAAAATTTGGACAAAATTGCATATTAACACAAAGCATAATGGTTATCATTTTGTTGTAATTCGGTTCCAAAACAGCCCAATTTTACATAGGTAAAGTTTCAATATTTCTCCAGCATCACTGATAATTTAAGAATAATATTAATTCAACTTACCGGCTACCATATTAATAATAAGTAATAACAATATAAAATATCCTAAACTGACATACCGTCTCTGCTCAGCATCGTTTTTCGTATACAATGATTTGATATCTTTGAGTTCAAATTTAATACCATCCATTACAGCGACCTCTTAGACACCTGATGTATAGCAGAGCGACATCCACTTAACCGCTTTTTTTTGTTGGTTTTTCCTGATTATTTTTAAAAATGCTAAGAATTTAACAATTTAAATCCATTTTTCTACAAGAAACCATTATCAATGTTGAAGATTGAAGCATTCAAATTTCTCTTAGAGGTGACACACACAAAATTTTAAAAATTTTAAAAATAAACCCGACACATAACTGTGAATCAGAATTTAAAATTTGGATTATTTGTTTTAAGGACTCACTATATGTCAAGAATATAATATTTTAATTTTTCCAGTTTCTAAATTGTTGCAATACTGTCTATATTGTGTATAAATAGTTAAATCAGTAAACAGTAATGATAAAATGATATACTATAGTTAAATCTGTAGAAATGAAATATAATATATATTTTTATGTATACTAAGTTTCTATAAAAAAATTCTATAAGAGCTTTAACAACATAAAATTTTCAAACATTGTGGTATATAATTATTAATTTTTATGTATTAGAATTCATTGACCAATAAGATAATGCCGCTTATTAATTTACATTCATTAGCCAATCCATTTCAGCAAATTCCAATTCAGGTACGGATATATTATATTTTATAATTTTATTTTACATGCCATTATAATAATGTAATATAAATATTATATTAGTATATTATTATAATTTAAGTTTATTATAATTTGTTTAAGAGTTAAAATTGTTTATAAAATTAAAAATATTATACAGTGTCCTACTGGATGTGTGCTGAGTTTTAAATGTAACGATGGATACAGCTGATATTAGAGAAATTTAATTTTTAATCTATGTTATTATTTATTTATTAATTTATTATAATTTATAGTTGTTGATATAACTTAAACTGGTTATTTATAAGTTACAAAAAATAATTACTTAACAAGTGCACTGTTTTATATCATAATATTATAATCTGCAGGACATCTGGTGGTGTTTCATTTAACGTTATTGTTAAAGTTGAGGTGTGAATGCATATCATTATTATTTATTAAACTTTTTATTGATCAACACATTTGTATTTTATATTTTAAATTTCGTCAAAAAATTGTTATTAAAAGTTTCTTATAATTTATAGTTATAAATTTGTGATTGTTGTCCTTTTTCTGTAGAGGGCCGACATACTCAATTTTGGTTTATGTGTTTAGGTTTGTCGTATGGCTAATAATATAAATTTGAATATGGCTGAAGTGTTATGTAGAAAAAGAACCGAAGTTGCTGTAATTTCCTGGATGGCAATCACACTGAATCAGTAAAATACATTAATATAGGTATACTTATTAAAAAGGTACAACAAATTATATAAACTAATACAATTTAACCAGTGAATCTATTTTAAAATCAAACAAAACAATAATAAACATAAAAAAATATTTCAAAATTTTAAAAAAATTTTGTTTTTTTACCTTGTTTCTATTTTTGTGTTACACAAATTACAAATAATTTTATCAAAAATTGAAATGTTTTGGTAAAAATTTACTCTTTTTTCTTAATTTTTTTTATTTTTGCTGGGTTATTTTGAATAATACTAGAAATGCCCCCCCCCCACAGTACCAACTATATAACATTTTCTACCAATGACTTCTCTTAAAGTTGAAATTGAAGCAATTTAATTGCTCTAAAAGCCAAAAGGGGATGACAGATACACTCAACATTTCTATATTTCGATCAAGTTTGCTTAAATCTCTCCCCCTGTCCATCTTACAATGTATTACAAGCATAATTTTATACAGTTACAAATTATAATGATCTTATTAAGCAAACATAACTTCATAAGAATGGAAGATTAACTACAAACAAGGTACATATTATATATATATTTAATAAATGATAATATTACCTGAAGAATTCAAGAAGTTATTTAAATCATATTACATTGTTCTTAATTATCTTGTATCACCAGGCCTGTTTAGAGGGGGGGAGGGTCTCTAGGTCAAAATTAACTCAGGCCACCGAAGATCATTGGGCCCCATGCGTCCATGCAAAAAAAAAATACGGCAAAATTAGGTGAGTGTAAAAACTATAGTTTATAGACATGTCGCGTTGTGTCGCGGTTGCGTTGCCGTCATCAGTTGCTTTTGGTGAAAAGTATGAACTTAGTTTTAATATCTTGAAATAAAATTTAAATACAAAAAGGACCAATTGCATGATTCTTCAAGGAGCCCCAAAATATCTCTGAAAGGGCTTGCGTAGCACAGACGTATAACATTAATATTTGAGCAAATTATATCAGTGATAATGTGGTATGTTATACATACCTTGTTTCGTCGTATACGTGTATACTCGTTTATTAAAATAAAATATCGAAAAAATGTTACCTATTTCTAATATATTATAAAATATTATAATAAAGTGTGTGAATCGAGAATATTTTTAACATAATATTTTGTACTGAACAAATTTTAAAATATACATATTTTTTTGTATTATTAATACTAGGTAACTGAATTTTATACAATTTAAACAAAATTGGTTCCGTAATATCCACAATATCTCATAATATGTGAATCGTGATTTTCGATTTGTCCAAGTCTATATACTGATGCACTCTCGTGTTTTCGGTATGAAATTTTCCAGACGCGATTTATGTGTACTAATTCAATTTGTTATTTATTCACCGGCACAAAAGACGTATAATTCTGTTAGTCTAAAAATATCGGTGCATTTGACGAACGTCGCAATAGTAAATGTTATAACTTATAAGTAATATAATATAAATCGGGCTCGGCGGTTGTTGGATGAGCGTGGGCTAGTATACTAAATATATATATTTGTGACTTGAGTACCATATAGTATATTTTGTACTATTGACATATAGGGTAGCATTAGATAAGAATATCGTATATCCGATCTAATGAAACTTTAAATTAGTCTCTGATTGGAATCTTCTCTTGGTGGGCCTGACAGTATTAATATATAATATAGGTATAACATTGTTTTTTTGTAATCTGTTAAGATAAATTTTTGGGTAAGGAAAAAAACATTAATGGTTAAAACACAAATTTAAATTCCTTTAAAATTAAAAAAATCTGCATGGATCTTTAACGAATGATTTCCAATTTCCTTAAATGTCTTCTATTTATATTATATGTTGATAGATTTTTCTGAATAATTAGTTACACAATAACAAAATGAGTCATCATATAAATTAAAACTAAATCCAACACAGTATTCATATGTAATTGTGAAAATATAAAGCTTTGTAGTAAATGAAATGAAACATTATTATCTACATATACAATTCTATCTTAAACAGATGGGCTTATGCTGTATAATATTAATATGCAATAATAATATTATTTGAATTTTATACATATTCAATAATTTAGAAGCATAGATATATTTATTAACACATTCAGCTGTATACATTTTGAGAAATATTTTAAATAAAAATGCTAACAGTTTATACATCGTGATTTTTAGATTTTTCTTGTAGCTTTATGAACGTCATATAGGTTTTAATTTTTCAATTTACATTTCGGTAGGGGGCCACTAATATTTCTCGTCTTATCATATAATTGTCTGAATACAAATATACTTGTATACATGTACACATCCAAATGTCCACTAATTTGTCTACTATTTTATAATAAATGTCCAAAAAGCAACGAATCACATTAATTCCACGATAGCCGCGAACAGATAACACTGTTGTGTGAAAGCACATAAAAATGTCGTCTCGGGACAAGGTTTTTCAATTAACCCGCAATAAACACCTCTCTCCGGTCTACATCGGACCCCATAATACACAAAACGAGTCAATAATTCTGTCCGGTGCTGAATATTTCGCCCGTTGGAATGTCCGACATTCTATGGAACACGTATCCTGTTTTCCTTTAAATAATAATATACATATCGTACAATAGTAAGACCAACTCGTAATAAAAACTAATGTATTAAAACGATACAAAATAGTTCAATCGAAATATATATTTATTTATTTTTATAGCTTAATAGGTACGTAAAACTAACTATACTTATACTGGGTAGGTACAATTTTTATTGTTTTCTACACACGCCTTGTTTCTGTAATGTCAAGATACTCGTACTGTTCCTTATTAATAATACCTATACTTTATATATTGCTCTTGGATAATGCATATCGAATAAGGTAAATCAAAAAATGTTATTTTTTTATTATTTCATTCTATACAGAAAATGTATGATTGTTGTAAAATAAACAAGGGCTCGTATAACTCTGCAGCGTCAATATTGTACAAGTAAATAGTTAAGTATGCATTTATCAAGAACTAATTATTAAAATTTGATAGTTAAACACATCTTTTTAAGTTAAACATTTTTATCACGTAGATTAATAGAACTATAGTCTCGCTACTTACTGGTACAGTGGTACTGTAAAAAAACGGAAAAATAGTTTAAAAATTAAGAGAAACTATTGCAAGGTAAAAAATTCATAGAGTCAGTGAATCTGTAAAGAGAACTCCAAATCGAAAATAACGCTGAAAGTGTATAATAGTACGTACAATAAATAATTAAACAGTTAGTTTTACAATACAGTTAGTATAGTTTTCTTTTAAAATACCTACCTACTTAACATTTTATTGGGTTCACACTAATAAGAATAATAACCAAAACATATTATTTTAAGTTGGAATAAGGATAATTTGAAGGTAATTCGTTCTTTTTCATTTATTAAAACAAAAAAAAAAATAATAAAATAAAGATGCGTAGTATTCTATTTTAATTAAGATGGTATCATCACTTGCATGTATAGATAACTAACTCGTTTAAAATGTGTACAAATTAAATTTTTTGAGATTTAGTGAACTAAAACATCAATAAAAACGTATCTAAAAATACCGTTTGAATTATTTGGATATTAAAATAAGAAAGTACAACATCATTGGTATACAATATCACTCTACGGTTTAAAGGCAAATTACGTTTGTCGCGCATGTTTTATATATTAGTATTCCTCGGCGTTAGTTAGTTTTAGTGTTTAAAACAATAGAACAAAATAGTTTTAACTCGATGTCCACATAGTTTCTTTTGTGACTTAGACTCCTAAAAAAAATCGTTCATCGAGAACAAAACTGTAATGTTTTTTTTTTGTGCTATTCGTGGGACGAGGTAAACCAGTGCTAATTAAAAACCGGACAAAATAAGATTTTTAGTAGTTCGTTTTTTCACAAAAGATTTTTTCAGTACCATTCTACGAATTATAAACGTCGGCAAACGACGAGCAAAAATAACATCAAACATGGGAGAAAGAAAATTAAATTTAAAAAAACCTACTGACAGAATCAACACGAAATAGTCTGATCTTGTTTTGCTCCACATGGAGTATGGGCTATGCCATCAAAACAAATGTCATCATTTCATCATAGAACCAGTGTAATATTAAGTGAATTTTTTGTATCTTAAACTGATAATACTTCAAATAATTTTTAAATCTCTTCAGCGATTATGTAAAGGCAATAAGAGCACGGCATGTTGTGTTGTCTATTTTGAGTGAGTTTCAGGCGTAGGTATTTTAATTTAAAATTAGGTTATTATTTCTAATCAAATTACATTTAAACATATTTTTTAAAAACAACTAGTTATAAACCTTATTGAATGATTCAAAATTGTATAATTGTGTATTATACCTAACGCATAATATTATATATTATAATTTAAATTTAAGAATTATATAAATGATTAGTTTAGTAAATTTTTGGCTCAATGAAGGCTTTTAGGATTTATTTTAAATAGGAAAATCCATCTTAACCAACTTAACGACTTTAAATAATTTAGATAATATTACATGGTAACTTAAACGATTAGTCAATAGTCATATAAAAACTTTATGCTTATAATATGTATGTAGTATATGTATATTTTGTTAAATTACTAAATATAATAAATAATTACCAATTATTTTTAAGACATATTTTTGTAGACTTTTAGGTTAAATATTACATTTCACTCAATATTTTTTTTAATAATTAGGTATAAAGAAAAGTGCAACGTAATTGATCTATATATACCGATCACTTGCAATTGTTGTAGGATGTTGGTTTATTATGAATTGAATGTAGAATAGGTACTTGAAACTAATATTATATTACTTATAAAATTAGATAAAATAGATTATATGTTATAATAATTAAAAAAAACACAATTGTCTCATACTCATGGACTGCGT